TTCTATTTTTAATTTTTTGAGGAAACCCCATGCTGTTTTCCATAGTGGCTCATGCATAGAGTGCATGAGGGCTCCCTTTTCTCCACATCCTCTCCAACACTTGTTATTTCTTGTCTTTTTGATAACAGTCATTCTAACAGGTGTGAGGTGGTAAGTCATTATGGTTTTGATTTGCATTTCCCTAAAGACTGGTGATATTGAGTATCTTTTCATGTGCCTATTTGCCATCTATACATTTTCTTTGGAAAAATCTCTATTCAGATCCTTTGTCCATTTTTTAATAGGATTGTTTGCTTTTTTGCTATTGAGTTGTATGAGTTCTTTATATATTTAGATATTAATCCCTTATCGTATATGATTTACAAATATCTTTTCCCATTCAGTAGGTTGCCTATTTATTTTATTGAGGTTTTCTCTCCCCTTTTCTCATTTTAAAATACTTAACATCACATGCTTCAAATGGTCAATAGGGAAGGTGAAGAGGAAGCAAGATCAGGGGAGAAACAACTCATCATAAAGGTCAATGCACTGCCTTTGTGGCACTTTGAGGGGTTTTTTTTGTTTTTTTTTTTTTCTTTTTGGTGAGGAAGATGGGCCCTGAGCTCACATCTGTGGCCAATCTTCCACTATTTTGTATGAGGGACACCACCAAAGCATGGCTTGATGAGTGGTATGTAGGTCTGCACCCGGGATCCAAATTCACGAACCCTGGGCCACCGAAGCAGAGTGCACAAACACCTAACCACTCCATCACTGAGCCAGCTCCAGCATTTTGAGTTTTAAATGCACCTTCCACTGTCTCAGGTTGTTCTCACAGGCCAGGTTGCTACTGTTTCACCCAAAAGCACTTCCTTAGCTTCCAATCACAATGAAAAGCTCCCCTAAAAGTCGCTCCTTTTCCAAATAAAGCCCATAAAGTATACTTATGGGCATATGAAACAGTTCTTTCTTACTTAAAATACCAATAAATGTTTGGAACACAGATCATAAAAAGCTTAAGTTTACCTCCTAAATCTGTAAGGCAAGATGCTGCCTTTCACTGATACATGTTGACAAAGGCATGTGGATACCAGTAAGCAGAGCTAGCTACAGGATGTGAAAAGGCAACACTCAGGGGAAAATTTCACTTTTTCACATGCTCTATGTTTTCAAATTACAGGCTTGGGATATTCCTTTGAAACATCTCTTCCTATTTATAAAAAAAAAATTTCTGTCCACTGTTTATACATGTGTTTCAGCTATTTCTAGAAAAGTGACTTGGTGTATGTGAAAAAGCATTTCCTTCATTAAAAAAAGCAATCATTTTAAGAAAGTGCCTTCAAACATCAAACTATTTTGAATAGTTATATTATTCTACACCCCAGTCTCATTGCTCGCTTTCTTCTTGTTGCCCTCAAATTGCTGTGGAGTTAGTAGCAGCGACAAGCTTACCTCTGCTATTCACTGGATGAAAGGAAATTATGATTCATCGCAAAACAAAACATAGAAGACAGCGGAACCTCAGCCAAACTATTAAGAACTATCATACACAAAAACTCCACTTTTAAAAACTGTGTATTAGTCTTATAAGGATACAAGGGAAATTATAAAATATTAAACAGGGTTTCACCCTAGCTACGCACACGAAAGATCCCATCATATAAATGTAATGTTAGCACTTGTGACACTATTTATAAAACTTGTCTACGAAGCAACACTTGAAACAGATGTAGCACAAAATGCTTGCACTTCATATGCTTTTTATTTGGTCCTCAAATCGAACTTAATTCCATCCATGCAAAGCTGACTGCAAGGAACAGGTATGACTAATTTTAAAAGAGCACACAGCCATGTCCTAAGGGGTGTGCAGTAAGAAGTTAGTAAGTCCCAGGTGAAATACTATATTCGCATTCTCAACAGTATATATTAGTGAAAAATTCCAGTCTCAGTAACTTTTCACTACAAGATTTACTGTCAGAGCTTGTAAGTGGATATACTGGGAACAGTTCTATGCCTGTTAGGAAAAAAAACCTCTCCGAACCAAATGCACAACTCATGCCTGTTACAACACCAATAGAATCAAATCTTCCAGCAGGAAAAAAAAGTTTTGCTTTTTTTTTTTTTTTTTTTTTTTGCAAAAACTGTTTGCAAGACCTGAGAAGTAAGCAGTTATTTTGATAAGAGATAAACAATGGGCCTCCAACCACAGAGAAATTGAAAAATACACTTCAACTTATTCTTCAGAAAAATAAGCTACAAATCCTAGCATCTAACTCACTTTGCTGAAAGAACCCCAGGCTCCTAATGAAGAGTGAAGTTTTAAGTAGGAACTAAGATGCCTGCTGACAATCAAAGAAAGACCTATTTGAGAAGCAGTGTGACAGAAAATAGACGTTTACGGCGCCCAGCTATTAGCAAGTGCAGGACTAGACTAAATTTTAAGGAAAATTCACCACATGTTCTAAAATTTCAGACCTTCCAAAATGGCTAGATCCTAAAAGTAAAAGAACAAATAGTTACCACATGCTGAGGGAGAGCTGGAGGCGGGCAAGAGGGAGTGGCCAAGAGACTCAGAAAAAGAAAAGGCTACCCAAATCTGGCATATCATTAGTAATTCAGGTAGAGGGAGTAAAACGCCAAGACCATCACTGAAGTTACGAACCATTTCCTAGCACATGGAGTTAACACCTAAGATTAACATGAAGAACCTTGGAAAGGCATAAAGACTAAATAAGAAGATAAGGAATGGTTAGTAATTAAAAGTATTACAGAAAGGATCTTCCCATACCTGACCTACATAAGACAAAAAGATCAAGTTCAACCTGGAAGAACGTTCATGTCTCTAGTTTACTACATTTAGGGGAAAATGTAGTATATAAGATGGCAGGATAAAAAGAACCAATGGATGAAACTTCCACTAAAAACAAAATCCAAATTTTCCCCTCTGTTCATAGAGCTATCTGGAGCCTCTAAAATGCCATGGAGAAGTTACACAGCCACTAAAAAGTTTAAGTATGAGGACTATGTGAAATCCGGAAAAATTCATGAGACAAAATAGGTGGAACGAGCAGAAGGCAGTCATATGTACACTGTGATTACAACGCTAGGTCAAAAGACGTAGGACGGTTGTTAGAGGGGGTGAGACTTTCTTCTTCCTTTCCAAAGATCCGTAAATATTGCCATGAAAGTTTCATAGAGCAAAAACCATTTTTAAACTTGGAGTCTTGGCATTCAGAAAACTGTTAAGTTAGTCCTTCAAAGAAAAAACAGGCACATTGCTTCGCAATTTATCCTGTTTACTATTTCAAATTAAGGAGGATTCAAATGGCCACACTACAAATGGTGGGTTCTTATCCGTATCAGTACTCCGAGGGTGTAGACTTTCAGGCTTGGGATGCACAAACATCTGCTTTTCTATGTGGAAAAAATGGTCACGCCCTTTCGAGAAACTGACATTTTTAAAGGCTTATGGCATTTTGAAGATGTCTACTTGCTCCATTTTTCTAAACAGATAAATCAAAAACTGAAAACAAACCATGGAAACCAAAACAGTTTTAAGAGGAACCTCCTAGTCAAACGGCTAATCGAAGCTTCGAGTTACAAAATTAAAGGCTCCCTTTGGTTTTATTTCCGAAGGAACACTCCCTTTGGCCAACGATTCAGTTGGGTAGGTTCCATTCTTTTAAAACACCTCACTCGGCTGAAACGGCTTACAACACAGGCAGACTGCGCCTCCCCAGCACTATTAAGACAATTCTGAGAAAAAGAGGGCGTCTGGCAAAAGACGTCAAGGATTATGGTAATATATTTTTTGAATTTCAGTACGCAAGCAGGACTTATGCAGGCTGATTTAACAGCCTGAGTTCTATTTTATCGGGCCACTGCAGGCAAAGCAGGTCTTTATCTCCTCACCATTAGGAACAGAAATTAACTATCCCACGGAGGTTAAGTCCTCCGTACTTTCCTCCCGTAGGTCAGAATCCTGTGCATCAGATCATCGAAGTTGCCTATTATAACTACGCGCAGTCGAGTCCTCCCCTTCCTTCCTTTCTTTTCCCAGGACAAATCCCAACGTGGCCAACACAAACCTAATTTACGATGTAAATAGGTAGGCCAGGTCTCTAAAAAGCTCTGCCCCCGTGTGGGTTGCGACTGGGCATCTCCCCGCCCCACCCCGTCGCGGCTTCGATGGAGTCTCCAATGAAACACTAACAGTAGCTAAGGTCACTGAGAGCCTGGCTTATCCGGACCGAATCTGGAGGAGAACTGAAACAGTTTCCCCGGGTCTCGGGGTTGGGAGGCTTGCTCAGCGGACACATTTTCCATTGGGCGGGGGTGGGTTAGAGACCACAGGAGCGCAAAAGCACTCGTCTAATCTTTGAAGGCCGGCGGCTGGCTCTGCCACGCTCTCGGCAGGAAGGGGAGGGGGGCAGGAGGAAGAGGGGGCGACGGAGAAGCTGCGGGGAGCGGGCGGAGGGGCGGAGGGAGGGGTCGGAGGCGGAGCCCGGCCTCCAGGAAAGCCCGCGCGCCGGGCGCAGAGGACCCGGGGCGGAGTCGCACGCTCCGCCGGCCCCCGGGCCGCAGCCGCGCGTGGTGCGCCCCGAAGGGGCGGGCCCGCCCCGCAGCCTCCCTCCGGGGCTCGGGCCCTCCTTCCCCTCGCCTCCCTCCCTTCCCTCCTTTCCATCTCAGCAGCGCCCTCAGTCTCCCTCTCTGGCTCATACAAAAGCAAAATGTCCGCCATCTTCCGAGGCGGCTGCGGTCGTCGCCGCCACCGGCTCGGCCCTCCTGCGGTTTCTCCCCGGGGCTGCCCCTCCCCCGTCCCCTCTCCCCGACCCCGGGCGCAGCAGCTACTCGGAAGCCGCCGACTGCACCACTCCGCCCGCCCTCTGCGCGCCCCCCCTCGCCCCGCACGCCCCGCTGGGCGACGCAGGACCGCCTCGGGCGGTGGCAAGGGGGGCAAGCAGCTCCGGCCGACTTGCTCCCGCTTCCCGCCCGCCCCACCCCCGTGATGGCCTCTTTACCTTGATGCAGTACGGGGGTTCGTCGTAGGTGACCAGCATGTACCTGTCTCCGCGGCTGGCCGGGTCCCGGGCGCGCAGCTGCGGGACGAGGGATGACGGAGGGGGCCGCGAAGGGAAGGAGGGAGGAGGGGGCGATACAAACGTTACAGAAGCACCTAAATCCGCCACCGCCCCCATCCCTCGGGAGCTCTCCCCATCTCTCCGCTCCCCTCCCTTTACCTTCAAGAATAACTCCACAGCGCCTTTGGCAATGTCCAAATAGGAGGTGCCCAGATCAGTGCGTTGGTTCATAGAGGCGGACGTGTCTATGAGGAACAGCAGGATGGGCATCTTCCCCCGCACCTCTGGCTCCGCTCCCCACTCTCCCGGCCCTCTTGCCCTCACTGCCGCGTACTGCCACCCGAACCCTCAACTCTCGCAGAGCCAGGGTGCAGGGAGCAAGAGGAAGAGGGGAGACGGGACGGGACGGATGGAACTGCTCCCGTCCCCTTTCTGCAGCCCCACCTCCTCTCCCTCCAAGGGAACTTGAAAGTGTGAGCGTGTGTAGCCCTCGGGTCCCTCCCCTGCCCTCCCCCTTCCTCTCCTGCCACCACCGCTGCGCCGCCGCCTCCGGGACTACTGCCCAAGCATCCGTCCGCGCTCACTCAAGCGCTCGCCCCAGACTGAGAGCTGTCTCTGTTCACCGACACACAACTTCTGTCCGCTCACCTACCATCGGCACCATGTGACCAGGACCCACGCCATTGGCTGCCAATTATGTTGTATTTGCATATTCATTAGATGACAGGGCAAGGGGAGGGACTTGGGCGAACCCTGGGAGTTGAAGTTTGAACCTAGGCAAGGGGTAAAGGGAAATGTTAGGGACCCTCCTTTAAAGGACTTGGAAGCTGTTAGGATATTTAGTTAGGGTGGTTTGGATGGATTTTCTCTTGCTTCTCAAAGATGATTTGAAAGGAATTGTGAATTTGAGCAACAGTTGTATAGAAGTACAGAAGCAGATGCTTGGACAGGCTGCACAGAAAACGCTTTGCTAACTGCAATCCATCAGTCCTGCCAGTGGCTAAGACCAAGACATTTCAGAAGTAGCACACTTCTTTCCTGGCAAGACCTACTCTCCCCACTCTTGATCAGTATTTCTAAGTCAGTTGCTGGCTTTGTATTCCACTTCTATCTACCTACTTAGAAAGGAAACTAAGGCTTAAACACAGTTACCTAAACTGGCCTTTTGTAATGTACAAGCTTCTTCAGTTTATTGAGCTCTTTGAAGCATTGGCTTACCTGTGAAAATTCCACCCACTGTTGTGTCTACCTTTACACATGGGAGGGTTGCCAACCTAGGTTCTGAGTAAACTCACATTTATTAAGCACCTAGGAAGTGCCAAGTGCCCATGTTAGCTTCATTTAATCTTTGAAATAATTATGGGAGATGACATATTCAGTTTTCAGTAAAGTGTGGCTCAGCGAGATTAGGGCAACGATGAAGGACGCTCTTAGGTCTGGCTCTATGGAGGGGCTCAGTAAGTGGCCAACCACGCTTGGCTGACTACTTCATGTAACAATTTAAAAAAATTATTTTATTGAGGTCATATAGCTTATAACTGTGTAATTTCAGGTGTACATCATTATATATCAGTTTCTGTATAGACTGCATTGTGCTCACCAGCAGTCTAGTTTTTATCTGTTACCATACATATGTGCCCCTTTACCCCTTTCACTCTCCCCCCACCCCCTTCCCCTCTGGTAACCACTAATCTGTTCTCCTTATCTATGTGTTTGTTTATCTTCCACATATGAATGAAATTGTACGATGTTTATTTTTCTCTGTCTGGCTTATTTCAGTTAGCATAATACCCTCCAGCTCCATCATGTTGTTGCAAATGGGATGATTTTGTCTTTTTCATGGCTGAATAGTATTCCACTATATATATATACATATATGTAAATATGAAATCTTTTCTATCCATTCATCACTTGATGGGCACTTGAGTTGCTTCTATGTCTTGATTATTGTGAATAATGCTGCGATGAACATAGGGGTGCATAAATCTCTTTGTGTTGTTGATTTTATGTTCTTTGGATAAATATCCAGTAGTGGCATAGCTGGATCATATGGTATTTGTATTTTTAAGTTTTTGAGAAATCTCCATACTGTTTTCCTTTAAAATAGGGAGGTCTATATTCCTGTATTCCTAGTAGTATGCTCTGCACAATGTGGAATCCTGAGCTTCAGTGAGTTTACAATTTCATTGAGAACAGAAGATATATATAAATAGATATAGATATAATCTTTAATATATTCTTTGTATTTTATATATACACACTATAGACACACACATTCAATAACATTTTCAGAAAAATAAGATTTCACAAGAGGCCACATGGCAGTATATGAATCAGGGATGAACAAATGATACAAATAAAAAGTGCAATGGAAGCAATGGTTCTAGAAGTTCAGAAGGTTTCTTGGATGAGACACAAAGTTGGAAGGGAAGGATTCTGGGTTGGAAGGAATGGTGTGAACAAAAAGTTCAGCCAGAGATAGCAGTATGCATGGCACGTATCAGGACAGTCTGGTGGGATACACCTGGTGGGAATTAATGGAGAAATGAGGATGAAAAAGACACTAGAAGTTCCCATTTCCATTCTGATACAAATATTATTGGAAAAGGGCAATGCCTACGTGGGCTAGGGTGCTAAAAGTTCAGGACTGGTCAGGGCCAACGTGTTAGTTTCCTATTGCTGTGTAACAAATTACCACAAATTCAGCAGTTTAAAACAACATACACATTTATTACCTCACAGTTGCCATGAGTCAGGGGTCTGGGCGTAGTGTAGCTGGATTCTCTGCTGAGTCTTACAAGGCTGCAGTCAAGGTGTCAGCCAGGCTGTGTGTTCATCAGGAGGCTCCACTGGCAAAGAATCAACTTCTAAGCTCATTCAGGATGTGGGGAGAATTAATTTCTTTTGGCTGTCTGCTGGCTGGAGGCCACCCTCAGGTCTGCCTGCAGGTGCAGGTCCCTGCCACGTGGCCCTCTCCATAGGCTGTCCACAGCATGGCTGTTTGCTTCTTCAGGGTCAGCAGGGACATCACTGACCCCAGTCAGCTAAGATGGAGCCTAATATAATGTAACTTGCTCATGAGAGTCCATCCATCATCTTAGCCATCGTCTGTTGACTAGAAGCGAGTCACAGGTCTCACCCACACTCAAGGAGAGAAGATTACACAATAGGTAACACCATGGGGTGAAAATCATGGGGGCCATCTAAGAATTCTGCCTAACACTAGGTGGGGATGGGATTATTACCTGGAAACAAACTTTGCCTAGTTCAGTTGTTCGAGTCGACTCCAAGTAATAATATACCCCTTTCAGCCCACCAGAGAAATGCAGGAGTTGATCGGTTGCTTAGGTTCTCCTTTGGTTGAAGAAGGACAAGGTTTCCGATTAGGAGTTTATATTTTATTACATATATATGTATGATATATATAATAAATATAAATGTATAATATATAAAAATAAAAGCATATTATATATTAATATATAACACATTATATATTAATATAAATATAAGTATATAATATAAATACATAAATATGTAATATAAATATTAATATAAAAATATATATGGTTATCTACAAATATCTATATATAAAATAGTAAATAAATTAAATATTAAACATAACAGTATTTTAATATACATTTACTATATTGAATATTAAAATATATTTTAATAAATATATATTTGTGAATGTAGAAATTTGTTTATGAATATATGAATATTTATGAATGTATAAATATTTATGTATAGATGTATAAACAAATATGGTAAATTAAATATTAAATAAAACATTGAATAAATATTTATAATAAATATTTATGTATATAAAATACCATTTGTGAACTGGGGCATATCATAGTCCTTATTTGTATATTTATATATATAAACATATATATTTGTTTAAATAAAATCAATTTAGTTATAAATATTGTATTAATATATATGGTAAACATATATTATATATAATAAATATATATATATGGACTGTGATATGCCCCAGTTCACAAATGGTATTTTAAGATGACATAAAAAAATCTTCTTTATGCTTTTCCCACAGCCTTTCTACAATGAGTGTACTTTACTTTATAATCAGAAAAGCGTTTATGTTAAAAAATTACATACAAAGTAATCGAAAAGCGTTCCTCCAAGGTGAATACTATGGAAATGATTTACCCGTGTTGGGGAAGCACACACGGTCTCAGTCCCAGTGCCGCAGAGGCCGGGCACGCAGACCCCACGGCCCACCGGCGGGATGTGCTCCCCATGCAGGTGAATGCCTTTTAATGTATTTTTTTCCTAACATGTTATTGATCTTTTTTGGCATAAGCTCAGATGGAATTGAAATGATGCAAATATAGAATCTGAAAAATACCCGTGTCTCATTATAAAACTACAAAAGTGACAATATACAAAAAATAACCAACTGGTGCGTTTATGGGCTTATTCAGATTAAACCAACCCCAAGCCCGCAGCATGAGCCTCTCTTCTTCACTTCCTGGAGGAAAGGAGACCCTGCATCATGCTAGAGTGTGTGTGTAGACCTCTTCATTGCGTTTTTGGGCACACATCAACACTAAAACCCTCAGGGCCCTTTCTACATCTTTCTCCGCTACAGAACATCAGCCCCTCGTGTTGTAGGTTAATTTGTGCTTTGCCTTTGTCTGCTACTGGAATGGAAATCCCTGGAGAGCGAGCAGAGCCTCTAACCAATGCCTGGTGCGAAGTACATGCTCAAAAATGGTTGGTGAAAGAAGTGTTGACTAAGCCGTGGCTGCCACTCTTTCACTGTCTTCTCAGTGCTCCTCTCCTCGGGACTCCTAGCCCTGCCTGCCATCCCCCACCTGAGCAGAGTGGCTGGCCCAGTTCCCTGTCCCTGCGGATGCAGGGCCTTTTGGATTTGGGCCCCAGTAGACCCCTCCAGGCCAAGCCCTTGAGCTGACACCTCTGCAGCCTCCCTTTTGTTCTGCTCATGCTTCCTTATGAAACGGCTCTTTTTCGGGCCACTGCTCACTGTTTGGCTCTCTGGGCCAAATCCCCTTCCCAACTGCTTCCAAATTTCAGGCCCATCTTCACTGTCAGGCCTCTGGCCAGTTAACAGAGTTCTTTTTTGCATTGCAGCTCCATGACCTGCACTAGCCATCCTGTCCTCTCTCTGGCTTTCTCATGTTTTTTGAACTCGTGAGCTCTTGAAAATAGTAGCCTCTTGCTTCTTCATGTCTCTGCTCTTTATCTGCTTTTCTTTCACTGGTAGCCTCTAAATCAATTCACTTGAATACCGCACCACACTCCCCCATTCCAGACCTTTCTACTTCATGTCTGGAGTTACCAGACATCTCTCAGGAAGGAATTCCTACCAAGCACTGCTCTCTTGGCCTTCATTCCCTTCACAACAAAAGTTAGCATACTTGGCCCCATGTTTACATTTTATGTAGTTGGCTGTGGTGTGGTCCACCACCATACAGCAGACCCTTTGTTTTGGTGAGGGCTGGTCTGGCTTCTCAGTCTCCAAAGATTTGTTCCCTCTTGCCT